ACCATTGTCAGCGCTGACGCCAGCTGGTTTGGGATTGGTGGCTGCATACTGGAGCGTCGCGGCCAGCGACTCCAGCCGGCGACATCCTGCAGCCGCACGCTATCAATGTCGAGAGCCGATGGCACAAGTCGAAACAGAGCCATTGGCAGTAACGTGGACTCGCCCGAAATTTCGCACGTTTCTCAGTGGACTTTCGAAAGTTAAGTTGGAAATGGATCACAAAGCGCTGACTCCGCTCATTAACATCAAGAGCGTGACTGAGCCGCCGTCGAGGTGCCAGTATACGCGGATGCGCGAAGTCGAGATACCTCAGCATTGCGTCAGTGTGATGAGAGACTTGCCTGCAACTCCAAAGAGGCTCGTGAAAATTATAAAGACGCAGCAGGAAGATTCCGTTTCACAGCAAGTGGCACAGCAGATGATTGTGCACGGCTGGCAAGAATCAGCCAAAGACGAAAACCTGGCTCCTCTTACGTGCAGAAACGGTCAACCGAGCATCCTTCACATGGCATTTGGGCCGCTTAACATGAATGGACAGCGACTTATTGCTGCGACGCTACAGAGGGATATCCTCAACAAGCTGCATGATGACGGCCATTTCGGCCTCAGCAAGTGTGACGAGCGCGCGCGGCGCGCGTAACAGCGTTTGGTGGCCGAACATGCCCAAAGAACTGAAGGAGTACTTCACCTTCTGGCAGAGGAAGGCGCCAACACAATACAGGCAGCCGCTTTTGCCGTCAGTAGTACCAATAACTCAATGGTCGCACGTCGCAACGTGCGACATTTTCTCCCACGACGGCAGGGCTTGCTTAGTTACAGTGGGTATCCTGAGTCGCTGCCTAGAGATACAAGAGCTCCCTCAAACCACAAATTCTGAAGGCCTTCTCAACCTCTTAACGGTATTTCTGGTGCCGAGCTCTGACGGAGGAACACAGCTCACAGCGCCTGAATGCAGGGAGTTGACAACGGCATATGGATTACCCACAGACTGTCTGGTCGTTCGCACACACTCAACTAACGGCGCGGCGGAACGCGCAGTGAGAACTGCTAAACGGGTAGTACGGCAGCGTGGTCCGCACCCGACGCGGTTAAACTCGCCAGCCACTCCGATAGATGCAACAGGCATATCACCAGCTCTCCTCCTCATGGGAAGACACCTACGAACCAGGCTCCCATGCACGGCTGCTGCAGATAAGAGGTGAAACGTCGGCAGCAGCACAGACAGTGAGCAAAATGTAGCCGAGCAGAAGGATAGCAGAAGAAAAACAAAATAAAAAACGGGTGACACGATTTAATAGCGCAAGGGTATCCGTGTGCCCTGTCATATATGACGTGTCAAACTGAGAGACAGGAATACATAAAAGCAGGCATTCAAACTGCTTGACTTATTTGTGAATGTTTTACCTGCCACTAAATACCTTATTTTATCAGATTAAAACACCTTTTATGCTAATTTCCCGGGGCACTCTTGCTCAATCAGGGGCCCTGCAAGTATGCTCATCATTCGACCGAAAGGCTATATGCTCTTGCTGGGTGGAAGTGAGGAGGGCATGTGTTAACCTGCCGGAATATTCTGGAGCCCTGCCCAGGAACCCTCCAAAATGGTCTCGGTCTTCTTCATGATAGCCAAGACAAATATCCGCATTAGTCATTAGCCATCATCTCATCACACCATTCGCCAGCCGACCAGCCACCACAAGCTGACAAGCCGCAATTAACCCTTGTAGTAAGTGCCGTCCCTGAGTTTGATGTTATGTGATGGCCACTTAACTTGTTTTGCCATATTTTCCCCAAAATCCCCACTTTGTATGAAGCGTTGTCCTTGATTTCAATGATATTTGGCGACCAACATAGCTTGTTTCGCCATACCTTTTCCGAAACCCTCAGCCACAAAACGTCATCCGTCCCGATAGCTCAGTTGGTTAAGGCGCCTACCCTCTGATTCACTTGTCCTTGGCGGGGTGGTTTCGAGGCGCTTTTGGCGTTCGCAATTTGATCTCGACTGGGATGGCCCTGTGCCAGGATGCCCTGAACTGGGCTGCCCTGCGGCGCCAAATTATGCCGCTAGCCTCATATTTTTCATTTCAATAGTGGAGGGGGCGGGGGCAGGGGTCCTCAATTTTTATGAACTATAGGGGGGCCGAAACAAAGGCCGACAACCTCCCCCGTTTGGTCTCGCCGGATTAGCCCTCTTTATTTTGATTGAATGCAATGAATTGCTTTTCACCTCAAGTCACACCTTAAATAATTTATAAAAGTATTTAATTGAAGCAGCATAGAAGTCATGCAGGGTTGTATCCAGGGAGCAGGCACTCGACGCAGACGGCTCTTCTGATCGGCACGTAAAGGCGCCCCTTTAGAGGCCACCTTAGGGCGCCGATGGCGCTCTTCGGTGGCCGTCATGGCAGGCGGCACGCAGTTTGCTCGAGGGGGACGGAGACTGGGTTAGCCATGAAGAGCTTAGGTCATTCCCATATTCCAGAGCTTTCACTTTAGCTTTACAAACCATTGCATGTCTTGCGGCGCTTAGGTATGTGAAGTTTATTGCATGGTTTATCCGCTCAGCTGTTACGATTGTATCTCGTGGTGATAGTAACCATGACTTTTGTTACAAGAGTGGCACGAGACGCCACTACACAGACAGATCAAAGAAGATAGTATTTGTGTTATGGTCATCTTTTACCCTCTTTTTAGCATTCCAGCCAAAAATATTAGTGGGGCCAAGCAAACATTGGGGGGGGGGGGGAGAGGCCCTCACAAAATAATGCAAATCAACACCCGTGAGGGGTGGGCTCCAGAACAACCACTTCTTTGGCGTAGGCCCTGCTCTTAGGACTCTCTTCTCTCCTCCCTCCCCCCCCCCCCCTCTCTTCTCTCTCTCTCTCTCTCTCTCTCTCCCCCTACTGTAGCAGCTGTTGTTCTCATCCCTACATGAGGTCATCATAAGATAAGGACGACTCAAGAAAGGAATAAATTCAAGACCCCTCCTCAAGGAATATTGGGTTCATAAAAACGGCTCACATTACCGTGCCGTAGCACCAACAGCATTGTGCCTCAGCGATGCTGAAACAGCCGCAAACACGCAAATCATTTCGCTCACGCCGAAAGGTTGTAAGCGATGAGCTTTTCTGCTGCATCCTACGTCCAACATATTTCGGACGTAAGAAGTACAGCCGCGTTCAGCATACTCTGTTGATTCAGTTAGCTGCGCTCGAACTTTGATTGCCATGCTCTAAGTACGAATGCTAAAAGGCACATAAATAGGAGAAAGTCGCCACCACGTCTAAGTGCTAATTGCAGCAAGATAACCACAATTATCATAAAAGCTTTCACATGCCAACTAGTCTCGGATATATGAACACTTAAAATTTGAAGGCGGCTTTAGTGTATAAAAGACATAAAATATGTCATTCTTCAACCAAAGGACGCTCTTAAATAAGAGTGTCATAGTTATTCTTGTTGTTACCCTCACGGTTGCAAGGACCCTGATTTTTATGCATGTCGGAAAGAGTTGCAGTTAGTTCATATATCTCGTCTTTGGAGCAAACAGATGCCTTACCAGCCGTGGACGCAACACCACCCTATAAAAGTTTGAAATGCAAACTTATAGCACCATGCGGTAATTGAACTTTAAAGTGAAAGCCTATGATGAACGACCAGGCCTTCGAACCCAACTAAACTCGAACGAACAGCAGGCCTCGGCATCTGCAAAAAGTTGTAAGCGGGTTCAGGTTTTTGCACATTTCAATCATACCAAGAGAGGCATTTTGGAGTGTTGACAACTCCGAAGCTGAACCTAAGAAGCTGAGTTCAGTTGGGTGGAAAATCCGCGATCAGCTAGTCATCATCATTTCAAGTTTAACATAATCAGTTATTAGTTACCTAATTGGAAAATACTATTGGAGACACACGTATACTGCGCTCTTCGTGGAAGCCGAAAAATCCCACCACAGTAATTAAGTGGGAGGTTCGTAGCACAAAAAGGCATGAGAATACGTTGTGTTAGATAATGCGTCTTTACTACGAAATTCAACGAACCTGGCGCGCACATCACATTGATCACACTTATGACGAAACTGGCACAGAGTCGCTCCGTTTCTCTGCCTTTAACTCCATCAGAATGTAACAGATCCCAGCGTCAATGAAATGCCAATTAGCGGTAAATTTACGAGCGTATGCCATGGTCTGTCCCGATGACACTATGCCTCCCAAGTATCATGCGTGAAAGGCACAGATGCAGTTTTTGGGGACCTTATCATGCCTGAAATGATATCGCATTTTATTTACATCACTGCATCAAGAGGAGTCATTCACTGACACTTGATGATGGAGCCCGAATACGGTAAGCTGAAGAACCGGCTTGGTTCTAGAATCTGGGGTATATGTTTTTACACATTTGCGTCATGCACATTCGTATCTTTTCATTCAAACAAGTCGGCCAATCAATATATATGCTGCTTTTTGTAAAGTTGTATTTGCGACAATCATTGCTTTTGATGTCAGAGCATGCACAAAACAAGCTAGCAGCTTGAAAAAATATGTAATGCATCTGTAACGAATGGTAAATACCGTAGTTCATTTGACATGCCTTTTTAGTGTGGTCAGTCTGTGTTTCCATTTACGTATGTTGTCAGCTCTGTGATTTTTAGCAGTTTCACTGGAATCGAATATCCGAATTGCTTTCCTGATATGCCGTTAACGACCACCCTCTGTTTGCACATCTTTGCGACAACATTGTTTACTGGTTTAAACACGAATGAAGGCTATACACTTGTCTGAAATGGTTAATGCAACACCTTGCGTGTCTAGAATAGTTACACACGAACGCTATGTATGCTTACTTGTCACGTCCAGACACAGCAAGCGGACCTCACATGCGACTAAAGGTGACAAGATATAAACGATCCTGCGTTGACGCAATGGTAAAGAGCAAAATGCTTTCGAACCGTCTGATAATAAATTTACGTACTTTTCAGTGCTACGCCGACCCACTGTGCGAGAGAGGACCATCAAAGTCATCCACTTAAGTGCACGCTTCTGCGTCATTGCGTTGTGCATTGGTTTACTATGCACTATTTTGCAAAATTCCGAACGGAGATATGAAGAGCACGATGATGCCCAGGTAAATATGATCTGCCATCATGTGAATCTCTCTAGGTTGATGTAGACTTCAGTTTCTGGTTTCTTTTTTCTGTATTACCGTGAATAGGTTGAATGAATTAATCGGTAATGGTTCCGAATCAAGTTGTGGTCATGGAAAAGCTACAAGAATCCTTCATGGAAACCGCAAATTGTGGTCATGGCATGGTTGTGGTATTTTGGTTTTATGGAATTTGGACAGGAAACTTCGCAACACGTGGCTGCTCCAGAGAGCAGTGATCAATGTGATGCAATATTTTCTTCCCAAGAGACTTTTCCGTGAAAAAAGACCATTCGGATAGCCGAAAAAGTCCTCCGAGATGTCACTCAGATCTGAAAGAGACAACCGGAGGGGTCCCAAATTACAGACACGCATACAATGTTGCGTGCTCCCCTCGACGAAATCACGGTAGTGAGCCTAGGATCTGCACTGATCTCATGACAGAGCCAGCGAAGGCCGAAAAGAAGAGAGAGTACAAAAAGGAATATCTCATGAACAACGAGGCAATCGCCACCACATCCTTCCCCTCGCTCCGTTCGCCATCCATCCTTCGCTCCATTGGCACATTTGAGCCCATGTCCAAGGAGCCCAGGGCATACTGTTTCCATTCTGAATGTTCTAAGAACCTTAGCGGAAAAGCTTCTGGTGGTCACCTGGCAGGAATAGAGATAGGATCGCGACGAGCACGAGTGATCAACTCTAGGGTAGGGTTGGTTCTCAGAAGACGTTTTGCGGGCCTTTCCTGGGAAATTATTCCTACAAGCTATATTGGAATCCCTGGTCAAAGCAGTCAGTTTGAGTCTTCACTGCCCTTCTCAGGCCACATTTTCTGCCCAAGAGGCCTTTCCATGGAAAAGGACCATTCGGGTGCTCGAGAAAGTCCCATATGGTCCCCCTCAGATCTGAATGAGGCAAGTCAGCCAATCGCTCTTCGTTTGATCAGCTTACGTCAGCATGGGGTCTGGAAGAGGTTCTGATTGGCTTCAAGGACTGGCCCGTTTGAAGTGGACCCCTGTTAGAGGTAGGTTGGCTCATGGGTATGTTTCTACTCAGGTGCCCGCTTACCACTACTCCCAAACCAATACCAGGGGACCCGAGATTCCTCCCCCCCCCCCCCTCAGGAGGAATATCTTTGTACCAAAGAGACCTAGCCACCTGGCCCCTCCTGCTCTGCTCCCCAAAGCCTCACTCAGGACAGCCCTCTTTGAGGTGGGCCCTTACAGATGTGGAAGGTTGAATGCCGACCAGGCGAAAACCAGTGTGCCCTACCCCTTTAAAGAAAATATTCCACATTTTTAAGATACTGAAGCAAGCATGAGCTATGATGAAATAACCTCACTTATAAGCATTGGTGTACTTTTAAGTGAAAAAGACGGCTTCGGACAACACAATTTATCTGTTTAGTAATTATGTCCTTGAATACGTCATTGTTTGATTGCGTCGTCATACCTTACACTGTCTGTGACGGGGTATTCCCACCTTCGGGCGACAAAAGAGTTCAACGGAGCGGAAAGAAACTAAAGGAATAGGACTTTGGATCCCCAGACAGTAAGCTTGACTCCGGCAATTTGCACTCCCTTAAATGAAGGCGATATATTCTTGCAAGCGGTATGCATGGATTTGTTGAGACACATATATAGAATTGCTGTCATGTTCATTTATTTGAGATACAAGCGCCACCTAAGTCTGCAAGCTTCAGAAAAGAAAAAGTTTTTTTCAAAAGTCTTTTTCTTTTCTTCGTTTCAAGAAAAAAGTCTCATCGCCAGAGACATGGCGTACTTGGTATTTTTGGCACCATAGATGGACATCTACCGAAACATGGAAAATCCTCACATGGCGCAACGGCACTGTAAGGTTAATTTAAAGGGTCCTGAAAGCTTTGGCACCTGGTTGTGAAGCTGTATGTGGCAAGGTATTTCAACGTACTCTGACAAAGGGCAGGTCATTGTTCTCGTAATAGGATTTATTGAAATACAATGCTGCCAGATGGCCTCACGACCTTTTGGCATCGCCTTTCCAGATTTGTGATACATAGGCAAGCCATGAAAAGTAATAAATCAAGTTTCTCATGGTCTGAGCAGGCGCGCAGCCTAAAAGTAATCTTAAGAGAGAGCCGGATGCCTTCGACGGTCCTGTCTCATGAGACTGAGCTTCCTGTGACGACCCCTTTTTACCGTCCGCTGCTGCCCATGCTCGCATGGATCCCGGAGAAGCCTGCATGTGATTTTTGTGCTCTAAAGTTAAAGAGGCGCAGTGGGGTGGTCATTGGGAGCTTTGAAGGGGCTTTAGAGCCATTCCCCGCTTCTGGAGATCGCGAGTGCCTCCCCGCTAATTCTACCAGTTTAAGACACCCGTAGGGTTTCTTAAGCATAAAAACGGCCCCCTGAGCCATCAAAACAGGATCCCAAGCCGAGCAACGTATCTCTAATTATAAAATTATAGCCCTATTTCTATTATGTATTTGCTCCACTGGAGATCGTCTTAATACACTTGAATCTTAAGCGAGGGCTGCTCGGATTTCAAGACTCTCAGAAAAAGACACTTACCAAAACGAAAAACAACGGCAAAAGGAGCCCTTTGACTGGAAGGACCCACATGGCTCGATTGGTGCCGTCCTGGACAAAGCCTGAATACGCCACTAAAGAAGCGTGGCCCCTCGGGCCCGAGACGGTCTTCATTGAAGTTCAAAACTCTGCGAGGGGCCGTGTTTTGCAGGCCAAAAATTTCGCAAGCAGGGCCTCTTTGGACCCATGTGAGGCCTCTTTTGGATTAAAGAATTTCAGGAGGACCCCGCATTTTGCCCACCTTCTTCCCAAAGCTGGGGGACGGCAACCCATGTTGGGAGGAGAGGGGGGGGGGGGGGCTTCAGTCTCCCGCCAACTGAATAGAAAGCTACACCCCTGTTTAAAATAATATCACGGCAGCAAATGTGAAACAAGGGTGGCTTAAACGGTGTTGCATTCTTGCTTTTAAAGACAGTTCTTATTTCTAAAATCTAGAATTGACGAACATCTACAACGATCAGAATACTCAAAACGAATATATCTGAAAGAACACCTGTACATGGAATGTGAAGAGAGAATACATCTGAAAAACGTCTGAATCTAGGATTTTTGGAAGGTATTAAAAAGAATGTATGGGAGCAGCATTCACAATTTTTCATATGCAACACCAGCCCCTGACTTTTTGAATGCGCTGAAGGCGAGCAGTCATCAGGATGGCGCCCAAGTCCCCATAATGTCACCGTAAGACGCATGGTGTGAATCGCCGCTCTGGCGCTCTTATTGAACCTAAGACGTTCCTGGGAATGAAAACTTCCAAGTTCTGACACAATTTTACAGTTGAAATACTAATCAGCACTGTGCTAACACGTTGTCAGTTTTCGCTTTTTTATCCTGAAAATTCACGGGGTTCATGCGCTGTTTTAGTTGCATTCATTTAATCCGATATCTTGCATTCGAACGTTTTCCGCATACGGCGCCAAATGTAGCTTTCTGGAGGCTCTGTTAGTGGAAAATCAGCATGACGCAGTATAACAGCGCCTTGGCCCACCTCAATGACAACGTACGGAGACGAGAAGAACACGCTGTCGTGGCGACCAGACTGGAGGTATTTGTTTGATAAAATGAAAATATACATTTCTGACCCATTCTCATCATAAAGTGAGCTCAACTGCCATGGACTGATATGCTGTGAATCTCCTCTTCCACTTACCGAAGAATTCGTGGTTGTCCGCACGCTCTTTTGTATCGAAACCTGGAAGTGAAGATTCTTTGTGAGAGCAGGTGATCTTTGTATAATCCCCATGGATCTTAACGGAAAACTAGGGCCTCGAGAGTGAAAAATGTGCTATACGAATACAAAATCATATTAATGTGTCATAATAGTTCGGAGAATCCAGAATGACGGTAGTTTGGGATTCATTATGCCAGCTAATGCCGAGGATTTTCCACACCCGAAGCACAAAAAAAAATGTTCTTAATCCTAACATTCTGGGAGCATATGGCGCAAAGTACAAGGTGAGCGCCAAAAATTTCTCTTCCATCTTATCAGCCAGGTGTACGCGATAAAAGCAAGAGGCGTGTGTTAAAGTTGTGCTGTTGAACATGATTAACGGCACTTGTTAGCATACAAAACAGTTAAGACAATAATTTCACAGGGTGTGTTGACCTGCAAGTGAACTTACTTTGACAAAGTTTGAGGTTCCTAGGTCAAGACCTTTGGGTCAAATAAGATCAAATACTTAAGATAAGGTCAAGCTCCAAATTGGTGTCAAAGTGACTCAAAACCTAGATAGGTATTCTAAGGAAAAGGTCACTGGTGCTCAGTTAAGGTAAGTGACCTTGTTTGACCTTTCACAAGTCATGGCGATCAAAATCATACAAGAACGCTTTGATTTTTGCACTTCAGTGAACGTCAAATATTACGCTAGACAGTATGATCCTAAACGAAATGATCACCTGGGTTGTGTTAGGTCAGTGACCTATTCAGACCTTTAAGAAGCCCGTGGAAGGCTGAAATGCGATTCCTGTTATCCATGCTCACTTTTCAGCCTGAAATGTGTCATTTTGTAATTTAATAAGGGTCCTAATTGGGCTTACCAAAGGCCTTTTCCAGACGTGAGAGAGCCCTTTCTATGTTCACGATAAACTCCACCCAGGCCTGACACGGACGTTTCTGAGCTTATGAAGGGCATTCCCTGTTCAGAAACGGGTCTTTTTGAGCCCACATTGGGCCTTTTCAGTCTGATCGGAAAGCTCTAGACATCACAATATTTCTATTGAGTAAATATGCTCCTCAATACGCTAGCGTTTGATTCCGTTAACGTACTTTGCACACAATTGATAGAGAGGCAATTGACAGTTATATCTGGACAGAGAGTCAGTTATACCTGGAGATCGTGCCCACGACCGTCGCGTATGAACGAATCGACGATTACATTGTTCTTGGCCCTGGTCGCTTCATAGCTATCGGAATTGCAGAATCTGAATGGTGTTGTTACGGCGTTATGGCCGCCTGGGTGACCTTGAAATACTCTTCCCCGAAATAGCCCGCAAGTCCTCGCTTGATTTTAGCTCAGAAAATGGACCGGTTTAAGCCTTAAGGAGGGCAGGGCTGTAAGCTGCACCAAGTGATCTTCAAGATTACTATTTCAGTTCGAAACCCACAGACAAATGTGGAGCACTCCCTTCAAGATGGGCTCTCTATACCTTCCGTGATTACACATAATAGCCAAATCTCTTTCACAAATCCGACCACCTATTTAGGCCACCTGAAATCTGGGGCAAAATATTGTGTTGGCCTTTACCTCATGCATCGAGGGCAGTTTGCCCAGCGGATGCCACCACTGGCTTTCTGATCCTACAATGAGTCCATTCCGGACCAGAGCTGGGCCCTTTCCAGATCCCAACAATGAGATAAGTCTTTTTGAAATTAAGTTCCCCATTTATCAGCCTTGCTGGGTCCCTACCTGACTTGGGACGAGTCGTTTCTAAATTTATGATGTATCCTTTTCAGACCTGAGAGGGCCCTCTCTCAGCCTGCGGTGGGCGTTTTTCATGACCTGAGACGGACCCTTTTTGACCTTACGAGAGCCTTTCTAGACCAGAGAGGGCCCCTACCACGTCAGAAGTGACATGAATATTTTTCTGGCCTCGAAATATAACGTTTCCAGCCTAAGATAGGCCCTTCGCGGACTCGAAACGATTCCCTTCTGGGTTCAAGATAGCCCTTTCGGGCCCAGACATGGGTCCTTCAAGTTTGGTTTGGGGATACAGTAAGCCAGTACTATCACATACTCGTGGACTCCGTCTAGACCACCTGAAATGATGGGGGGGGGGGGCAAAAGTTAGTTTTGCCACACCTCAAAAGATCGGGGACACTTCTATCACGCTGCCAGCTCCCCCCCCCCCCCTCCCCATGATTCGCCGCCCCTGCAATGCGACGAGCTCGCTCTATTTTATCTCAATTTAAGCACGTCGTGGGTATACATTAGACGCCTCACTTTTTTAGCACAACGTTGCCTGCTTTCGACGTGCATCCGATGCACTGAAAAAGTTCGTGTGAACAGACCATTAGTGCCAGGCTTGTATGTCACGATACAGGCCATTCAAATGTCCAAACTAACCCTACATGATATTGCACGAGGTAGTGTAAGTCCTGGTTTAAAGAGAATGAGAATTGACTGGCTTACATTGCTTATGGCTTATGTTGGATCTCGAATGGTTTGGTCGTGGCAAAATCCCTTCGCTGATGCTGAAAAAGATTGCCTCTCCATCCTCGCTACACAGTAGCGTGCGTGCAGCGAGGTTTATAGCATTCGCAATACTGACAGCTAGTAATGTAAACTGATAGCTAACAGCAATGTGCTGAGATCTGTCCTGAAGCCTTCTGTCAGGCACGTTTTGTTGTGTCAGCAGCAGAAAAATATGCCTTGTTGCAGCTAACCACAACCGTGATTTCTGCCTTTTTACAGGTGTACACTGCAACAGAAACAGTTGATAAAACAAGACTTGAAATCACCGTCTGCCCATTCCCAGCAATTGAACCATCGAAGATATTGAATTTTGGTCGCTATTACAAGATCGCTACCAATGTCGATTTTAACACATTTGATATGGAAAATTCACTTTCTGGCGATGATTTAAAGCTCGCAGTTTCATGCCTTGAAAAGAATCACTTTGTGCATGAGAAAGATACATTCTTGCATAAAATGGAATTTCTCCGGAACAATTGGAATAACACGACGTGCTCACATATCGCGCCGGATAAAGCTATTGAAGGATACACATTTAGGAAAACATTTAACGGATTCTCATTTTTCGGTCTCTCGGAAGAAATGCAAATAGACGAATTCGATGCAGTTTACAGACATATTGACCTATTGCGATATGACAATACCACCGTACAAGAGCTCTTGGAGTTTTCGGCTCAAGACCTACACAAGCTGATGATATCGGATTTTGGACAAAATAATCAAGGTAATTTCAGCAGCCCGTCACAAAAAATTACAGTGCAAAGTAAAGTCTTAAGTTTTGGACCAAACTGCCGAAGATATATCCAATCCAAGAGTCATAAAATACTGCATCAACGGTACCAACTGAAGCTTATTTTGAGAAGGTAAGTCGTACGCAATCAATCGCAACTTAGTATTTCAATAGTGCCGTTGCCATCAACACATTACTCGATTGCTGTAATAAATCAAATATGCTTCTTGCAATAAATACGTCGTTTTGCTAACGCGGATGGCTTGCTTCATCCGCGCGATATGTTTGCAGAAGTTCCCGGCTTCCAGTCCTTTATGTGCACAAGTTAGGCTACCAGTGTCGCTCATTTCATCACGTTAACAACGTTAGGATTATAAGTGTAAGCTTTTACACGTATCCGCTTCCTAACGAGTGTCGTGATTTGTTGTGTTGTGGATATCAAGATCATTTCACTCGCTTGCGCCATGTAGGAGCTATGCGTACTTTGCCCACAAAAATACCATAAATCGTAAGGCCCCATCACAGAGACGTTCGGAATATCGCCTGGGCAACAACAAATTGTTACACTTTCAGCAGTGCATTCCAAAGGAGGGCATCGACGATCGATTGCCGCCAGCAAACTACCTTGGGGATTGGGCTCACAAAAGTTCCCTTTTCGGCTAAATACAAAGACGGCTGCTCCATGTCGAAACCGACTGTTATCAGCCTCAGCTGTTTACTAACACACAAGTAATCAAACGAATTTTTGGCCTCGGAGGATCGTTGGATCATATATTGGTATAAGCTTTGACGGTGGAAGTATATCCACCCTAACCTGATTTCCTAGGCACTCATGTGGATATTGTATTTTGTGGCATGCTATGAACATACACATGGGACACGATCGGTGCATCCTGAGAAAATTATGTACCAGTTATCCTATATATGTTCGATATCCTTTATGGTTGCTTTAGGCATGGTTAAAAACTTTGTGGTTTGTCTTTGTAGTATTGATAGAATCAAAAATGGTGTATTCAATATCACTGATATGTTCAACAGTATCATATCTTTAAACGTTGCAAGGTCATATGGCATCTTCGAAGACACACAAATAGCACATGGGTTAAGTTGAGAGCTTGAGTTTTTCCACTGCATCTTTATGAGGTATTTTGAGCGAGCGGCGAAGACATGTGACCCCAGAATAAGGGGAGGGGTTAATCATTTTTATCGCCATGAGGCCGTTGTTTAAACGTGTGTGAAATACATCAGCAATGGCACAACACACTACCGAGACACGTAATCCCAATGATATCAACGATGTGTTACGTCTTCACCCAGTAACTCAAGAGCTGTACGATAATTTGTTTGCTTAGAGATCGGGATAATTCATCGATACTTACACGTCTCCAAGTTTAGATCTGTCATTGCATGTCTGAAGGGTATCAGTGTTGTCCTTCAGCTGCTGTCCTGTAAATATCCCGTCATGTTCGTGTCGCATGTAGTACAGAGGTTCCCCGCCGCAGAAGCGCATTGTCAGACGTCCTGAGCGTGTCAGCTTGCACGCTTAAGACATTGTTCCTACTGGACAGGATGACATTTAGAATTGGTACACATGAGAGAACCGCCTAGGTTGATACGGTGCTAAGGGGATTGCAGGCACTAACGTACCCTTGGCACCGACTAGCGAAGCAATCTAAACGGTTATCAGTGCATTGGGGCCGTATGATAGCAGACGAATGTCCCATTTCGGAGACGGCCGAATGCTAAAATGAGTGAAAAGGACCATGCTTTGAGTCATGAAAAGTTAGTTCAGACAATCGTGCTCTCGGATTTCGTTTCTATTTCGGAAAGGCAACGTACGAAAACTGGTATCTCCAGAATACAATGTTAAGAACTGATTATATGCGATATTGGACCGATGACCTTTGATGTTATCATTAATTAACTCTTAGTCATTAATCAACTCTTTGCGATCGCAAAAATAGATACGTTGATATCATTTTGTGCATGACCATGGGTGCTAAAATGTTAGGAACACATCACTGCCAACTCCATTTATGAAAAAGCCTCGGGTGATAGCTCATTATCCATACGTCCGAGGGACCTAAGATTGCGCCAGGTGATTTCTCCACATCAGTTAAAACCAAGCGCTAATTCTCAACACAATGTGAGGCATGAGCGTGTCGAATTACCATGGTGGTGCTGTGCTGAGTGGAAGAGCACACCAAACGTGGTAAAACATAGCTACCTGTTCGCTTGCGACGGGGTATGACATCTTTGCATTTCATTTTCATAAGTCATTGTGCCAATCATGAAAGAAAATGAAATGTTGTTTTTGTGTGTTCTGCTCAAATCTCGCTTTTTCGCCGCTTGGTTTTTCGGTCACACGCGGGGAAATATTTACTTATCTCGCCTTCGGAGCTGTGAAGACTCCATTCCTCATTGCAACTTCAGACTGTTCGGCTCTCAGCAGCGAGAAATGCCTTATTCAAAATCGTAGCATGTATATGTATATGGATTGCAATGTGATGTGTGTGGTTATAGTAGACACCTTTATATAAGCTCAAATAATATAATATTTTTCCGCAAGGTTTTCTTCTAAGCGTGCGTTATCAATATTAAAATGCTGAAGAACCAACTTTGGGATGCAAAAAGGTGTTCCGAATTAAATGAGAGTCCTATCAATAAGAGCGATTGAACTTTGTCTTAAAATAGAGGTAAATTTACCTATCCTAGCACGCACATTGTGGGGCGAGGTATGGGAGTGGGACTCACTCTACCCACTCCACTTGTTTGTTAAGATCTCCGGAGTGAACCAGCAGACTCTCACAATGGTTTGCCGACAAGTAATTTAAACCCCAAACGCGTTGTTTAAGCCTCGCGCTGACACACCGTTTTTCATAACGCGGTCTGGTAGAGGGTGGGGGGGGGGGGGGGGAGGCGGGTCGATAGGATCACCTGTCATTTCCAAACTAAGAGAGATAGAACTTAGAAGCAAAAACGGTAGATTGGTCTCAAAGAGGTCTCACGATTAGTAATAGGTTTTAAAGTGCTTGGCCAATAATTACAAAGGCTATACTGGACCAGCGAGGTTAGCTCAGGTCGATTTCCTAACAGGTCAATGCCAGTTGGATAATCTACGCTAACCTGATGATGGCCACAAGCACAAATACTACGATGCGAATCATGTGATTTTGGTAAGTTGTCCGCTAAACATTCAGAAAACGTGCTTTCTTCTCTCATGTAGCAAATGGTGTTTGCGTTTCATTCACTACAATTTGCACACTTCAGCTGCTATATAATTATTTTCAAAGGTCATTACGCTTGGCTGTATGGCCACCCGGCTGGGCAGCCAATTGGCCGACCAACGACATGCAATGCGGCATAACTTGTTAATACATAAGCTTCATATTACTGCATAGTGTACATAGCATCTGTATCACATCGTACACCATGACAAAAATGCGGGAGAGTTCCATCACAGCACACGTAAACGCATTGCAGCGATTGACAAGAATGACAGTCCGAATAACAAAAAAAACGTTCTAAGTTTGACATGTGTCACCTCATATGGCCTTCAATATATTGATGTAGGATAATGAATGTTTCACACAACATAGCTCGTTACAGCACCCATCTATCTTGGGAGTTTCTTCACTTAACCTTTTGCGGTTCTTGAGATGGCCAGGGGGCGGGATCATCCGCCCCCCCCCCCCCCACACACACACCCTACAGTCCGCTACACTCTCTGAGCATTTGTTGAGGTGAGGAGAATCAGTCACTCATGTGTATGATAATAATTTTGATCATCTTAACAGTTAACGCAACATGATCTTGTTTCAGGACAACAGAGAGCTACTTGTTGGTGTTCATCAATACGTTTCAAGAATTTAGTGATCTGCCGGTTGCTTCCATATTACGCCCTTATCGGATTCCAATGGACAAAGACACTGTTCTCCACATTCGCAGAAGTAAGTCCTTTTCTTTATTCACCACCTGATAATTCCAGTTACAAACAGTGCTTAAATCCTACGACAGCATGATTGTCTGATCTCAAACACTGCATTTTCTTCATTTCAGGAAGCCAATATGACGTATCGATTTACAACGTGCGCATCTTGGCAAAAAACAAATCAGTGCTGCCACCGATGCCAGGGATATGCTAATTACAGATATCTCCGAGTCTTCCATGCCATATGAAAGTCATATATCGATTCCTACGATGAATAATTTATCCGAGAATCACCACTATATTCGCAAATTAGGATTTCGTGGACACAGCATGAGCAGTTTAATACCATCTTTAACATCAACACCTCCCCAGATGTATTTATGTTGCTACGTTTGTTTCCAGTTGAGAAGACAACACAAGATGGGGAATGTAGATCATATGGACGTAACGAATCTAGGGCTAAATGCGTAGAATTATGCCTTTTGAAGGAGATGGTCAACCATGAAGATTCGGTCTGTGTGGTGCCCTGGATGAAGAGGGATGGCGTTTACGAGGATATACGAAAGAAGAAATTATGCGATTCCCTTGAAAGTAAGTGGATTAAAAAGTGCACTGTATTTTCTCAATTAGGCTCTCATTTCGCGTTTTCATGTTTTCGTGATGAAGTGTATTGCAGTATCAAGGATTGCATTGCTGGGGCTGAGGATGCCAGCATCTGTAAAAGAGAAATTTGATGCAGATACGGTTTCAGCATCACAGCTTTAGTAAAGCAATCTGTAGGAGCTGTAAACTTCTCCACACGGACTGATTACAATGTATCATAAGAAGACGATAATAGGCAAAGAATGCACACCTAGCATGTTTCAAGTGAATGGCTTTGCTTCTTCCATACTTCTAGCCTTTCAAATGTCGATATCTTTACATTACTTTGAGTGGCCACGAGGCATTGTCCTAATCCCCATTCGTAAGGACCAGATACATGCTTATAGGCACTTCCGCTACAAACCTGGCGCAGAAATGGAAACAGAGACATTGTCCTAATATTCACTCAGCAGGACCGGATGCATACTTATAGACACTTCTATTACAAAGTTGATACATAAATGGTACGGAGACATGCCTGTAAGATTCGATGCAGTATTTCAACTCTCGCCGTGGTTTGCTGATTGGCCATCCCTGCCGTTTCCAAACTGAGACATATAGCTTAGCGGAAGACACCGATGGATTGGTCTCAAAGGGACCTCACGACTGGTAGTAAGTTTTAATGTTGCTAGGTCAACATATGATCCGATTATGGCAAGTCAAAGTTCACATTTTTCCGAACATCGCACTTTTCAGTTTTACAATTTCATACACACGACTGGAGATCATGTGGAGGTCGAGACATCCGGGCCCCCTCCGAACCCCGGAAAGCCAAAAATCTGGAGTGGGGTTAAGCGAGTCTAAGAGCCACTTTGTGAGCATCCTATTCGACTCACGTAGGTGGAAGAAAACTGAACGTATTGAATGAAAAAACAATCCCTTCAGAACACCGAGGAGACCTCGGAGCCAAAAGACCTTTTTGGCTGCCCAGCGGTCGTATTGCCTGCTCAGAGTTCTGTATGCTAACGGCCCCTCTGGCCGCTGATCGGCTGTTTTAATTGTCCATGGCCTGCCGGGCTACTGAGGGACTATTCGAGCTTTTAGGAAGTCCCTGACCAGTTGCATCCTCCTGTGACTGCTTGGGGAGATAGGGACGGAACCCTGAATAGCAGAGGGCATTTTGTGTTAGTCGGCGCTCTCCGACAACAAAAGGAGATATGCAGGGAGCTACAGTAAGGCAGCGGAAGTACCCCGTGTTAGCCAGGGGACCAGCATCGAACAGCGGCTCACCGCCCGTTTTATCCAGCGCCCAAGCACGACGGACTGGGTTCCGTGGGGAAGTGGCGTCGATCCAGGGTCAACCGTCCCGGTCATAGGAGGAGACCAGTGTGTCGCGTATCCCTCTGAAGGCCTCCGGATCAATTAGGGATCCGGATCTGAGCGCTCCGGTCATCATATCACCAGAATGGTAGCCGGTCGGCAGCCCGAAATGGGACGGAAAGACACTTCAGCCTCCAATGGAAAATACATTGCACCATCTAGTCTTGGCTGAAGGCTCTATTGGGGTTTGGATGGGAAAGGGGGGGAGGGGGATGGTGAGCGGCCTCGAATCCTATGACGGGGCTCTTTTCGGCCCGCGCGGTGCGGACAGATAAATGGTCATACGTATGAGAAGAGCCAACGGAAATATTTGCCGAACAGAAGTTCAGACAGTACCACAACAGCCTGCGGCTGCCCAGAAAGCCCCATCTGATAAGCCCGTGAGCCCCCGTGACCTGGGCAGTCAATGTGACCCCCTAAGCAGCCGAAAAGTTCTCGAGTACTTCTGAAGTCTTCTTAGCATCCAGCAGGGAGCTTAAAAGGTCGCGGTGCTCCAAGTAGATACAAGGGCCATTAAGAACCAGAGTGCCCATGGTGGCCAGAAACTCCCCGACCGGGCGAATTCCTGGCCACTTTACGCTGGTCGGGCCCTGACTTAATGAGGGGCCCCTTTGTCGGTCAAGTGCGCAGAGTGCCTAGTAGAGGATCTTGTGCTGGAAATTGGACCCAACTCTGCCAAGGGAATTATCGATGTTACCCAACGAGGGCTCCGAAGGACCCCTCTGGACGGACGATTAGGGCCCCGAGTTGGCCGGAAGCAGTGTTCGAAGAGGTCCAGAGGACTGACTGGAAGTTGTATTAAAGGGCTGGCGCGTAGTGCTGGATCCTCAGATGTCAGTTAGAGCGCCCTTTGCGCCGACCTGGGGCCCTCTGACTCAATGAGGGCCTCTTCATCGGTCAGGCATCAGCGGCACCGAGCAGTCGGTTTCGTATCGGTCTGAGCGCTGTGGGCCCATTTCACAAATCTAGATAAGGAGCTATGAGACCTCGCAATGGTAGTCCATAATGAGACAATGAAAGAGCCCTGTGTCAGTCTGGAGCCAGTACCGAACGGGTCCTCCGCGCCATTTCAGCGAGGGGTCCGTTAAGCCGAACTGTAGACTCTTTGCCAGTTATTGGGCTATCTGTGGCGATAGGGGATCTTTATGCGGCAATGAAGACTACCGCATCGCTCCGGACCAAGTTCCCGGCTCAGAGGTCCTCCCGCGTCACAGAGGGAACCACTGTATAATATATCCCTCTGAAGGCATCCGGATGACCAGGCCAGATTTGCTGTGCAGCCAAATTGGTAGCCGGTAGGTAACCCGCGCTGAGACGCAATGGCCTTTCAAGCCCCTGACAGAAAAAAACAATGTGCCCCTAATTGTACAACCCACGGGGCCCTTGCCAGGAGAATGTGAGGAATCTTCTCAACAGTAAGTAGGGTGGATAAAAATGAGGTTGAAAATACGGCTTTCTAGATGTAATTCGCCCTCTCAAGGCTGGAAGCGGCCATCATGAATTTAGAAACGGCTCGTCTCAAGTCAGGTAGGGATCCAGTATAGGCTGAGAAACGGAGAGCTTTAGGCTCGGAAAAACCTTTTTGGCGCTTCTCGGAAAGGCACTTCCCCAGGCCCAACATTTCCCTTTATGGGCCTGGGAAGGGCCAATCTTTGGTCTGGAGCGGGTCCATCTTAGGCTCAGAACGCCAGTGGCGGTGTATTTGCAGGGCAAACTGTTTCACGGTGTAGGGGGGGGGGGGGGGGAGGGAGGGGAGGAGCCAAAACTATCTTATCTTTCATATTTCAGGTACCCAAATAGGGTCCCTAGCGAATTTGTGGAAGAAATTCGTTGATTTTGTGTGATCCATGTAAGCATAAAGAGCGCATCTCCGGTCCGTAAAGAATCAATGTTAAAACAGGTAACCCCTACAACAGTTTCAGGTACGGGACAGGCCCTTTTCCGGTCTGAAAGAGACCCCTTTACCTTCCGCGGGCAGAGAGCCCCGTGAGTGTAACACCAGGGGGCCCCACTGCCTTTCCCGGTCAAGGGTTAATGGCTACTATTGTGGAGACCGATGGTCGGGGCCCCCATAGTTGTTCAAGAGATGGGAGGGATGCATCATGCATAGGTCCCCTTCCTGACGCGGAAGGCCCTCAGGCCGAAGCAGTTGATTCCGGATTGACGCAGGGAAACCTCACTGACGCCAAAGATCGCTTAACCCATGTATGGTTAATCGATTCAAAGGATCAAAAGGATTAACGATACAGGGGTCCAATGATGCAGCAGGCAGATGACTCCAATTTGGTTTATCGGGCCCCTGGCCGATGCAGACAACATTTTTGAGCATCTCTTCTACCTTCATTCAGCTTTATATGCCATATGTGAAAATAAAAAGAGGTTTGTCTCTCGGCTGTCCAACGATCAGTATGTTGCGTAGCAAACTGATCACGCTCGTTGCAAGATGCTGCGGCCCGCCACGGTCCTTACGACTAGTAATAGGCCCAGTTATTTGGTATTTTATACTACTTAGCATGAAAAATGGACCTTGGCTGAAAAATCTGTGAATATCACTGATCCGAGGGCATTGTAAAAGCACGGTGTCACCGCTGATATGTGACGTAAACACTGGTATAGTAAAGTTTTTGATATATTCCTGGCACCTGCTAAAAACCATCCCGATTAAAACTACTACATTTGGCAGCATCCTATGTGTCAATTTGCGCATACAGCGAAACGTCAATGCTTCGACATGTGTTCATACTGCAAGCGTTAGCGAGTACAGCAAATCATTTGAAAATCATGTGAATTTTGAAAGACCAGTGACAAGTAAAAACAAAACAGACATTTACAAGGCATTGCCTTGATAATCATATCCAGACATTACGCAAGGAAGAGCAGGGCTGAACAAATGTATAACGCTGTAGTAGATGTGCATTGCACTGCAATCACAGGTGATAGCAGGCCACATCAGACGTTGCATGAAGCCACTTTTAATGGATGGTCATGACCTTAAAATGGCTTGCCATTTTTTTTAGCCAGAGTCGCTTGCACCCAACAGCAGAATATGTTAAACAACGAGCATTCGCTGATATGATCCGTCAATGCCAGCTCCGGCATTAACCATGTGATGCCTGTCGGTACTTATTTGTTTTAAACGCCTTTCTCTGGCCCAGCCCTGCCCGCAGCCAATGAATCCAATGCATTGGATCAAGCGATGTTAGTCAAAATAACTTTAATTTGACACAGCAAAATCAAACTTTATTTAAAAAGTGTCACAAATGCGCCATAAAATAGCAAACGTGTTTGACGTAGATTGACCTTTAATGATCTGATCCCTGGCCCTCGGACCAAATCAGGTCTGGCATTCTTGGCGTGAAACCAATTATACTTAGCATAACAAAAATAAGTAGCCACCCATAATTACAATCAAGTGAAATACATTGCTGAATTGACTACAAACCCAGCTGACATTTTCTTCGCAAATGGGTCACATGTAGCGCTGCAGCAGGGTGCACACCGTATTTGCAATTGCAATGTGTGTACAAGCTTGCAATATTTTCGAAGAGTACTGTTCGGCTTTCGAGCTTTGCGAGGAGAATGGGAGTGGTCCTGAGTCTCTATGACGCCTCGTTTTGTCATACATCACT